TTCATTCATAGATATTCTTTCTTGATACTAATGATGACTTTTATTATTACAACAGAGTGAGGTACTTTCAACTGTCAGAAAAATGAATAAAATAAATAGATATTTAAATGATGCTAGTTATATAAAGGTGAATACAGTTCAATGCTCACCAGAAAAATCCACTAAAGATTATCTAAAAAATAGTCAATATCCTCAATCACTGACTCCTGCTGATGGATTATCCTATCTTCCTTGTTTCGAATGAATTTTTTTTTCATTTTTAAAAGACAGTGTCTTAACAATTTATTTTATTTTATTTGTTTACAGTTGAAAAACAAAAAATTTATTAAATTGAGGAATATGTATATACAAAGATTGTAAATAAAGTTTCAAATGATGTTTTAGCTGCATAAAAATCTCAATTTGAATTGACTTTCCTATCAAAGGTCCTGTTTATGATTTCATATTATTACTGATATACTAAATTTGAACCCTGTGTGTCACAATGTTCACTTTGATGGGTTTTGTTACAGTATGTCCCATTTAAAAATAAATGTATTTTAGGAAGTCATTCCAAAATTATTCTTAAATAATAGAATTATGACTTTTGTAATATTCATATATAGGATTCCATTATCTTACTCCTGCTACTTTCATTATCACAAGATTAATCTTAAAATCTTATCAATTTTAAAAAAAACCTACAAAGTGAACATGTATACAGTCAGACTCCTATATAGTCACATCCAATATAGTCACAACTCCTATATAGTCATACATTTTTTTTTTATATATATTAAAATTCATCATATATAATCACTTTCATATTGTAATCACTATCACCAATATTTGGCACCATTAAATTTTGATCCCTGAAATTACTTCGTGTCACTTAATTTCAATTTATCTATCTTATCTCATATGATAGAGATTATTCTAAAAACAGGATCTAAATTTTTTCCTTCTCTGTAAAAAAAATAAAAAAATAAAAAAATATTTATTATCAATTAATTAAAAAGAATTATTAAAGATGGTATTAGCTAATGAACTTAATGCTTGGAAAAAACTTCAAAATCATTATGATACAATTGGTAAAGAATTGGTAATGAAAGAATTGTTTGCCAATGATAATAATCGATTCAATACTTTCTCACGTCAATTCAAAGGTAACAACAACAACAACAAAAATGAATCTCCTTCCACCATTTTACTTGATTTTTCAAAAAATCGAATCACCAATGAAACTTTTAAATTGTTGATTGACCTTGCTCGTGAAGCTGATGTTGAGGGGTTTAGAAATAAGATGTTTAATGGTGAACATATCAATTTTACTGAAGATCGAGCTGTTTTGCATATTGCATTAAGAAATGTTTCAAATAACCCCATTAAAGATGATAATGGTGAAAATATTGTCTCAGCTGTTAATGAAGTATTGGAACAAATGAAAAAAACTTCAACTGAGATCCGTGATGGAGTTTGGACAGGTTATACAGGAAAAGCAATAGTAGATGTTGTTAATATTGGAATTGGCGGATCAGATTTAGGACCAGTGATGGTGACTGAAGCATTGAAACCATATGCTAAAGCTGGTTTGAATGTGCATTTTGTATCGAACATTGATGGTACTCATTTGGCAGAAACTTTGAAAAAATTGAATCCAGAAACTACACTTTTTATTATTGCATCAAAAACTTTTACTACACAAGAAACTATCACTAATGCCACATCAGCTAGGAATTGGTTTTTGAATACTGCAAAAGAGGTTGATTATTAATTTGATTTTGATTATTCATTTTTTTTTTTATTTAAAAAAAAAAGTAATTGTTACATATTAATATATAAAATTTTTTGTATATTCAGGATAAATATGTTGCTAAACATTTTGTAGCTTTGTCAACAAATACAAAAGAAGTTACAAAATTTGGAATCAATCCTGCAAATATGTTTAAGTTTTGGGATTGGGTTGGTGGAAGGTATTCTTTATGGTCTGGTGTGTATCATCATAATCATAATCATCATACAAAGTATAACAACAATTAATTGATTAATAAGTTAATTAATATGATTTTTATATTATATATATAGCAATTGGCCTTTCTATTGCAATTTATATTGGATTTGATAATTTCCATCAACTTTTAACTGGTGCTCATGATATGGATAATCATTTTAAGAATACTCCATTAGAAAACAATTTGCCAGTGATTTTGGGTATCCTTGGTATATGGTATAATAATTTCTTTGGTGCTCAAACTCATGCCATTTTACCATATGATCAATATCTTCACAGATTTCCTGCTTATTTCCAACAGGTAACTAGCAACTCTGATAATAAATCAATCAATAATTTATTAATTAGTAAAACTTTTGTTTAACTAATTATTTATTTTAATTGATAGGGAGATATGGAATCTAATGGAAAATATGTGTCAAGATCAGGAAAAGAAGTAGAATATTCCACAGGCCCAATAATCTGGGGTGAACCAGGTACTAATGGACAACATGCATTCTATCAATTAATCCATCAAGGAACAAAAATAGTTCCAGCAGACTTCCTTGCATCAATTGAAACACACAATCCAATCTCCAATGGCCTACATCATGAAATTTTATTATCAAATTTTTTTGCACAGACAGAAGCTTTAATGATTGGTAAAAGCAAAGAACAAGTCTTGACAGAGCTTGGTGAAGGTTTCAAAAATAAAGATTTGATTGCACCTCATAAAGTTTTTATTGGTAATCGGCCAACAAATTCTATAATTTTTCAAAAATTGACTCCTGCTACTCTAGGTGCTCTTATTGCATTATATGAACACAAGATTTTTGTACAAGGAATCATTTGGAATATCAATTCTTTTGATCAGTGGGGTGTTGAACTTGGTAAAGTGCTTGCTAAAAAGATATTACCTGAATTAGGAAAAGACAACAAGTCAGTTGTTTCTTCTCATGATTCAAGCACTAATGGATTAATCAATTATTACAAAAATAATAGAAAATTTTAAAGCATTAAATTTTTTTAAAACAATAAAAAAAAATTATTATTGTTGGGACCTTCAAAATCCTTTTAATTTAGCTTCAAATTGCACCACTTTATAATATAGATAATTAAAATTATGGGTTGGAAACTATGTAATATATATAATTCTACTAACTTTTTTTAAATGTAAAGTTTCTTTTGGTTTAATTTCATTTTCTGACCCACACCACAATCTATTATAATTAATTTTAAGGGTTACTTGAAAAACAAATCAATGAATTTTTCCTTAACCTATAGAAATAATCATACCTGTACAATTGTATAACATTTTAAGCGCATTATTACCTGCTCTTGGTGTGGTAGAACTTAAAGGGCCGGATAGTAATGGTGGGCCTTGTGGATTTTGGTTACTCATTTTTTTGTTTCAAGATCCAAAAAATATATAAAACTTTATCACATGATAAGCCGAATCTTGATTCCAAATAGTTTAAACTGGACTTATATGCAAGCAATTGTATTTTTTTTATGGTGATACTTATATGGGCATGTTGCAACAAGTGAACATTGGTATTACCAGAATCACAGGGATCGGTACACAGTGTACACACCCCTACAAAAGTATCGACTCACTTGATGATCCGCCAAAATAATCGAATAAACGGGTAATACAAATACTCATTTGTTACTAAGCAAATCGATGTTGTGTATTAGTGAGAAAATGTTCGTTGGAATGATTACCATAACACTTTAAAATATCACATTGGGCCGATTGTTATTGATAATTTTATGATGTTTAAAAAGTCAAATTAAAATTTTTCGAAAATTTTTCGAAAAGTAGCACTTAGAGCTATTTTAAGGGTAGGGTAAATCACGTGATTATGGTCATAGTAATCCAGTCAGGATTATTCTCGATTTGGAATCGATTTCTGTCGATCAATTCATATAGTGATGCAAACGAATTAACGTGATAACTTTCATTTATTTTTTATCCCTTTTTTTTTACATAATAATAATCGAAATAATACCTTCAAACTTTCTCTTTCATAATCTGTAGAAAATCTGTTATAATCTGTTAATTTGAAAGAAGTATGCTTTTATCCAAATTTGACAAATTTTTGTACAAAAGGTTTGCTTTTACCTAAATAATATTTTTTTTATTATTTTAGTGAATAAAATATCAAGACCATTAGCCAGCACATTACCTTGCTTATTTGCTGAACTTGTTGACATATACTCAAAGTGTCATGACTTGAAATCATGTGAAATTACAATTAATCAATCTTGGAGGCGAGCATCAGGAAAGGCAGTAATAGAACATGTACAACTTTTTACTAAGTATTTTCCCAAATTATTTTTATTATCTAATTCTTTAGAAGATTACTCCCTTTGTGAAAGACATCACAATCAAATTGTTGCTAGTGATTCTCTTCTTCAAACATTACAAACAGGTGACTTTACTTCTATGTATTATGGATAAAAGAATGCTATTTGTAATAATTTATCTCAACCATCTCCCGAGCCAAAGGTCCACAATGTTGGAATTCAAGTGTCCCTACCAGATCTAGATCTTTTATCAGAACTGTTACAGACAAAAAATAAATTGGCTAATTCTTTATCCAAACAACTGGAATATGTTAACATAATAAATGAATATAAAAAAAAAATCAATGAGCTTTCTTCTTTGCCATTATCTTCACCTTCATCATCTTTTTCTTCAATATCTACTTATACTAAAATATTAGAACAAGAACTAAAAGCAAGCATATGATCAAATTAAAATTTTGAATAGTGAAAAAGAAAATTTAACTGCAGAAAATAATAATCTCAAAAATCAATTGGCTACCCAATTTAATACTCAAGAGAAAAGAATCAATGCTATTATAGATATTGCTTTAGCAGAAAGAAATAATATTTATCAAGATATTCAAAAATATGGAACATTTTACTTTGTCAAAACTTTTAACCTATTCTCCTACAAAATGGCTTGAAGAACAGAATACTGTTGTAGTTAAATTTATTGAAATACTTACAAATAATGAATATAATGATCAAAGTGAACAAATGCAAGAAAATTTTTTTAAACATGCTGTAGCACTGGAGGCAATTATGGCTCAAGAAATTGTAAGTATGTTTCTGCAATAAATCTTGCCACATCTGCTATCAAATATTCATTGTCAAGATCAAAAATGATAGTAGATATGGATAATCACATAGTGAGTTCTGGTAGCTATTCAAAATTTGTTAATTGATTGGAGAGCTTAGTAATTGAACCTGAACCTTTGCCAGAT